CCTAGCATATTGAGTAAGATCAATACATTTCTGCTTTTTGGTTCGATGCATAAAAATTGATACTTTACATTCCTTTGCTGATATTTTCTGATTTGTAGTTGCTGTTGGCAGCCTTCACTCGTTCGTTACACCATTCATCTTATTGAATATATACACAGTTTTACTTATTCACTTTCATGATGAACAGCAACATAAATATTTCAGAAATATGTGGGCTGAAATGGTATACAGACCGATGCTTAAATACTTGGACAGATTGGAATGAAAAGGCAGCAATGTTTTCAGTGGTTATACGGGGAATGATAGAATTCTGGGATTCTTAAAGCGCTTTGTAAATTGCCTCAACTACACTAGATTTAAAAGTACTAAAGTCCTTATTTAAATAGAAATCGCATTTTTGAGGTGAAATCCAAGAACAATTACAGACTTCATAGCTGTTTATTGTATTTCTTTTAATTTTGTCCATTATGCTGAATTCACAAAGCTAACACTATGGACAACAAGTCCTAAAAATAAAACCTATGTGGCTTACGGCCAAAGTTAATAACTCTTTTCTTATTGTCTATAGCTTTTTTAACTATAAAAATGAAGGATTGTTATCACTGTTTAAACATTACAAAGAATATAACAGAATATCCAAAAAGGAAACAAAGGCCGCAAAAATTGAAAACGAACAACAGATTGCAAAAACATAACAGAACCAACCCCAAAAAATTCTTCAAATATATTAATAGTAAAAAGGTTCGGTCCGAGCATATAGGCCCTTTACAAAATAATCTAGAGTGGGTGACTGGGGACAAAGAGAAGGCAAATTTATTAAATACCTTCTTCAGCTCTCTGTATACAAAGGAGCATGGGGGAGTTCTTTTCCATAATGGGCATGGTATTGACATAGCCCCAGATGATCCACATTGGCTCACAATTGATATGATCCAAAAATATTTAGACAGAATAAAGGTGAATAAAGCACCTGGACCGGATGGCATACACCCACGGGTCCTTAAAGAATTGAGCTTTATCATTTCAAAGCCATTGTATCTAATTTGTAGGGACTCTTTAATGACCGGCATAGTACCACTGGATTAGCTTAAGGCCAATGTGGTGCCAATATTTAAAAAAGGATCAAAATCTTTACCAAGTAATTATAGACCTGTTAGCTTAACCTCTATAGTTGGGAAGATACTGGAGAGTTTAATAAAAGACCACATAGATGAGTTCTTGCTAGAAAAAAATATTTTAAGCAACAGACAGCATGGATTCATGAAAGACAAAAGTTGTCAAACAAATCTGATTTCTTTTTATGAGGAGGTGAGCAAAACCTTGGACAGAGGGGTGGCAGTGGACGTGGTATACTTGGACAGAGGGGTGGGGGTGGACGTGGTTTACTTGGACAGAGGGGTGGAGGTGGACGTTGTATATGTGGATTTTACATAAGCGTTTGACACAGTTCCCCCCACACGGCTAATGTGTAAGGTAAAGTCTACAGGCTTGGAAAAATCCGTATGCAACTGGATAGAAAACTGGCTAAAAGATGGTACTCAGAGTGTAGTGGTTAATGATTCATACTCTGGATGGTCTAGGGTCATCAGTGGTGTACCCGAAGGTTCAGTGTTGGCACCCTTCTTTTTTAATATATTTATAAACGATATAAGGTCTGGGATTATAAATTCCATTTCAGTCTTTGCAGATGACACCAAGCTGTGCAGTGGAATAATGTCCTTACAGGATGTCTCCAATTTACAAGGATTGAGGATGCTCTGTGTAATTGGACGACTATGTGGCAAATGAGGTTTAATGTTGATAAATGTAAGGTTCTGCACTTGGGGGCTAAGAATATGCATGCATCATACATACTGGGGGGGGGGGGGGTACAACTGGGGGAATCAATGGTGGGGAAGGATCTGGGAGTTCTGGTAGATCACAAGCTTAACAATGGCATGCAATGCCAAGCTGCAGTTTGTAAAGCGAGCAAAATCCTCTCTTGTATTAAAAGAAGTATAGACTCAAGAGAGAGATATCATATTACCCCGGTACAAATCATTAGTATCACCTCATCTGGAATATGCAGTTCAGTTTTGGGCACCAATTCACAAAAAGAACATTGGGGAACTGGAGACAGTACAGAGAAGGGCAACCAAACTGATAAGAGGCATGGAGGAGCTCAGCAATGAGGAAAGATTAGAGGGACTGAATTTATTCTTTCTTGAGAAGAGGAGATTAAGGGGGGATATGATCTCCATGTATAATACATAAGGGGGGGGGGATATGATCTCCATGTATAATACATAAGGGGGGATATGATCTCCATGTATAATACATAAGGGGGGATATGATCTCCATGTATAATACATAAGGGGGGGTATGATCTCCATGTATAATACATAAGGGGGGGGGATATGATCTCCATGTATATAATACATAAGGGGGGATATGATCTCCATGTATAATACATAAGGGGGATATGATCTCCATGTATAATACATAAGGGGGGATATGATCACCATGTATAATACATAAGGGGGGATATGATCACCATGTATAATACATAAGGGGGGATATGATCACCATATGATCTCCATGTATAATACATAAGGGGGGATATGATAAGGGGGGGATATGATCAACATGTATAAATACATCAGTGGTTCATATAGTGAACTCGGTGTAGAGTTATTCACCCTGAGGTCATCACAGAGGACAAGGGGGCACTCTTTACGTCTGGAGGAAAAGAAATGTAATCTCCAAACACGGAAAGGTTTCTTCATAGTGAGAGCTGTGAAAATGTGGAATAGACTCCCTCAAGAGTTGGTTCTGGCCAGCTCAGTGGATTTCTTTAAAAAAAGCAATCCACTGAGCTGGATTATTTCTTGGATACAGAGAATATAACTGGTTACTATTTATAGGCAAAGTTGATCCAGGGAATATCCGATTGCCTCTTGGGGATCAAGAAGGAATTTTTTTTCCCAGCAGGAGCAAATTGGATCATGCTTTGCTGGGGTTTTTTTTGCCTTCCTCTGGATAAGCTGTGGGTATAGGATTATAAAAAAAAATTTTTTTATGCCTGAACTGGATGGACTTTTGTCTTTTTTCAGCCAGACTAACTATGTAACACACGAAGGATAATTATCTTTATATTAAAAACGTAAGGGCCTGCATCAATGGGATTTTATTTGCATTGCATTAGCTTTTGCATTTCCATACATGTCTATGAAAAGCTCGTTGAAGCAGGTCAAATGCAGCTATCAATAAATTCTGAATGATCCCAGAAGTGTTTCAAACCGATGTCTTCAACACAAGCCAAAAGCCCATAAACACAGGCTATAACAGTTATTTTAAGCTGACTATAGTCACATGGCTAAAATAAAGGTCCATTTTCTTGTGCTAAAGCTTTGTGAAATAAGCCCAATATAATTTTTCTAATCCTCAAAATTTTAATATATTGCGACTTAGAAATCCTTAGATGTAGTATTTGCTTTTCTTTCTTTTTTCCCTTTATTTTCACCTGGTGATCCACCTCGTCTCTTGGGTGACAATGGCCACTTACTGTGCTGAATCTATGAAGGCGTGGCATTAGATCTGTAGGACAGGATATTGTGTTAGGACTACCAAATGACTCCCTCTCTCCTCATCTCCATAACATAGGGGTGTCTATAGATTATTCACGTAACCATTTTTTTTCTTTTATTTTTTAGATGATTCTAGTGCAGGAAAATCCAACCAACCTCCTGATGGGCCGAGTCCAGATGTAGAAGAGTTTTCCAATAAACAGTGGGGTGAGTTCAGATGTACAGTTTTCTGAAACGTCGGACACTTTCATATATATATACATATAAATATATATATATAATGTATATATAAGGTCCAGTGCATCTCAATAGTGCTACAATGGATATGTCAATGGTACTGCTATTTTAGTTGCTTCACAAATCTCGGTAGTAGTTTTTTCTACTCTCTTAGAGTCTTAATCATCTGAATTTTAATGTTGTTAGTAAAACTGTGTGTGCGGCTCATGCTCGCGCGTGCATGTGAGTGTGATGAGTACACTGTCTTTGATCAAGTAAGGTGTTGGCTCATACTTGAAGGCAGGAAAAGGATCTTTCTCTTCAGGTCTGTTCACAACACACAGCTGAACAACACAACCCTTCCTTCTGCTAACCTATGCAGAGGGAGTCACAAAGTAAGCAGGTGGTGCTAGGCTTTCCTATTATGCTTTGCAGATAATGTATGGAAGAACCCTGTACTATATGATTAGTAGAAATAAAGATTTCATACCCGTAATAAAAAAAAAACAGTAGTTTATGAAGTTTATATTATTCTTATTTTTTTTGTTTGTTTATAAAGCAATGGTTTAGCCATGTTAAGGTCAGACCATTGCTTTATAAGTGGGGCTTCAAGATAGTGACAACAAGTAAACCATGCTAGTCTTCACCAGCAGGGCGACAATGCAGGGGCACAGGTACAGAGTGTTGTCACCACATAAAAGGAAGTGCCTGCTCATGGACCTTCAGAATGGCCAGATATTAGTTGAATAAAAGCTGCAGCTTTAGAAAAAATTTAAAACATTGTTTGAAATCACATTTACTTGGCAACCCCCCCCCCCCCCCCCCCCCCCCGACAGCCCTTAGATGGGCTCTAATGCCTGGGAGTCAGCACCACTTCTGTATCATGTGACTTCTGTAATTGGCTCTCACAGTGGTCACTTACTGAGGAGCCCGATCCGCTGGCTCCCGTTCAGAAGCCGTGACCAAGAGCTGTGAACCACAAATCCTTGACCAAAAGCACTCTCAGCACACACAACCTCATGCCACTGTGAATGCATATGTGCGACAGCTGACCACCTTTTTTGCTACAGCTTATATTTGTTTTGTGGTTAGCAAGAGCTTTAATGACATTTTAGTGACTTGGTTTAATGTTGATATTAGATACCATGTTCTGGCTAATTTAAATTTAAACCCATCCTTTTCTTCATAGCACGACCGCGGTTTACACAGCCAGCCAAAATGAGAAAGAGAGTTATTGCTCGGCCAGTGGGCAGCTCTGTCCGGCTCAAGTGCATTGCCAGTGGGAACCCAAGGCCGGAGATCACCTGGCTAAAGGATAACAAACCACTGTCTACTCAAGAGATCGGTGAGAACAAGAAGAAGAAATGGACACTCAATCTGAAGAGCCTTAAACCAGAGGACAGTGGGAAATACACCTGCCAAGTCTTTAATCGAGTGGGGCAGATCAACGCTACATATAAGGTGGAAGTGATCCGTAAGTATCTGTTCTAGCCTAGCAGTGATGTTATCAGCGAGATACAATATCTTTTTTTGGCACTTTTCTCTTTCTTCGATATTAAGAATGAGAACCACATGAGCCGTCCAATCTGATGTTCACAATATGGAAAACCTGGGCCACATCTGCTAACAATCAACAGACAGCTGTGTAGAGACACTAAAAACATGTGTTTACACTAAAACCAGGAGCAGAGACAGGAAAATGAATCAAACCTCATCCTAATGTCAGATCTGGCACTTTCACTGTATCAAAAACCAGCAAAGCTTACTACCAAACCAGGGAAACACAATCTGATCCCTCTTCCTGATGGTTTGTATGAGCAACCAGACTCATCGCATCTGAACGTGAGTTGGCTGGGTTACAACAGACGAAAATACAGTAATACAGGATATAACAAAATAACAAAGACAGACAATAAAAAGGACTGGGTTTATGACGTGTGGAAACATTCACCACTGGGCAATATAATAGTGTTGTTTCATATGTATCCAACTATGACTTTTCCCATTTCTCTATCATATAAGGGTTCAGCCTCCGTTATCCACTAAAATCCAGTTTCGGATAAGTGCCTACTGTTTATAATCAGGCTTACCATACACATTACAATATGGTTGAGCACTCTCCTATCAATCTACCAACAATTTTGTGCTTGCCTAATCGGATAAAAATGTAATGGATTGTTTTAGTAAGCCCAAACATTTACATAGCTTTGGTAAATATGAAGTAGGTTTGTTTGGATAATAAAATCCATGGCCAGCTTAAAGTGTATCTAAACCCAAAAAACAAAAAATATACTAAAAAAGCTACAATTTCTGGTGAAATTGTGTGAAGTGCTCTTGCCTCCACTCTGCTGCCTGCTCACACACACCTGGGTTCCTATGGCAACTCACTCTACAGCAAGGGCAGAGAAGAATGGTTAAAAACAAACTGCTCCAACTTGCTCACTTCACTGGCGGTTGCCATCTTCAAACGGTTTGTAGTTTAAAATTTATAAATCCTACAGTGAAGAACTTTATATTGTGAGAATCACAAGACCCAGACCTACATGAAATATTAAAAATGAAGGCACAGTGGCAGTTTAGAAATCGCCCTTCAAATTTGTGGTGGCTAGAGTGGAGTTTCAATGAATGTCAATGGGCGGCGTGAGTTGCAAACAAATGGTCATATTGTGAAAACTATCAGGACTATGGCTTAGCCGTGGCATTTTTAGTGGCAGCAGGGATAGCTGAACGTTTTGATATAAGATTTGTGTAGGTGGCCTTGAAAATGAGGGAGTGATGGCAGTTTACAAATCATGTCCTGATTTTTCAGCTCACACTCTAGCTTTTGTCAGCTCCCACTCTAGTTTTGAACATTCTGCCATTCATTCCTATGGGACCAATTTCACCACAAAAACGCCGATATTTCGTGAACCATTCGGCGAAGCGTTCCACAAAGTAATAGCACACCAATCGGGAACAATCCGCCCGTTTCGGTATATTACTGTCTATGTAATGTAAAAACTGTGGGAGGAGTTAGGGTGGTAAATTTGGCTATAATAATTAGAATATATATGTGAGATAACAGTAAGTGGTCTGCCATGCAAGAACACTTAATTAATCATTGCAGTTATATAAAGGAAATGAAAGCAACCATCACATCTAGGGATTGGTAAGTTGCCATATATATATATATATAACTTTTTTTTTTAAGTTTAGATAAACTAGTTTTAAAGTATATCTCTATTTGTACTGTTTACAATTATCATTGAAAGTTGTCCCCAAAAAAGTAATAGAGGGGGAATCTTCCAATGGGGTCACTAGTTCATGAGACCTGGGAATTTCCTCTCACTTTCTTTTTGACTATAGGACAGGAAGTAAAGGGAAATCTCTGAAATGGGACACAGTATATGAAAAAAAATTTACTAAGTTATAACCCTCCCTTACTCTAAAAAGTTTTGCCTATAGTTCTACTTTAGAATGGTAGTAAACTCCAGATTTGTATTTTTATCTACAGGTAAGCTTATAATAAAAGGTAAAAACGAATAATAGTGAGCGCTCTTATTGAACACAGCAGCTAAAGCACCGAAGGCAACCACAATGCCTTTAAATGTAAAGTGTAAACAAAGGTAATATGGTGCAGCGCTAGAAGAATAAAAACTGAAGACAGTCAAAAGTCAATGTGATAGTATCCGTGGTTTCTTATATAGGGTGCAGACTTTCAAAGCTCTTGCGGCCTTAAATAATAGCAATGCGCACTCACCAGAAACGCATGGATTATGCGCATGTAGGAATAATCATTCCAGATGTCAGATCCTCCAACATTCAGATGGCATGCATCCCTCTCACGGTGGGTCCCCGAAGACTCAAAACCAGATCCTGAGGTCCTCCTTAAGGTGTACCAGGCACTTCACAATGGTGGTGGGACTCTCTCCACTAAGTGGTAATGGCACCTTCTCTGTGGGGGTAGCAGCTCCAAAAGAGGAGCCCCTGTTGGTTCAAGGAATATCTCCTAAACATGCACCATTTAGGAGGTATTCAGTACTTTTGCAGCTGATGATGTCACTGGATATCCTGTTCCTCCAAAGTTCTGTGTCATGGCCGAGACTCTTGCGTGCAAACGCGGGAGTGATGTCATCCAAGATGGACGCCAGCACATGGAGTAACATAACCTCAGGGAAAAGGTTCTGGCCACTTGATTGACCGAGCTGTGATGACATCACTCCCGCGTTTGCACGCAAGAGAATTATTATACAGTATTTATAAAGCGCCAATAGTTCGCTCAGCGCTGTACATTACAAAGGGGGACAGAACATGTGACAGAACAATACCAATACAATGCAAAACATGATGGGATCGAGGGCCCTGCTCTTTCAAGCTTACAATCTAGGAGGGAGGGGATGGTGGCACAGGAGGAGATAGCTGTGGGGGATGGAGTGGTAGGAAGAGTGGAGGAGGTCGGTCAAGTTAGCAGGGGGTGGGGTAGGCTTCCCTGAAGAGATGGGTTTTCAGGGTGCGCCTAAAGGAGAGGAGAGTAGGTGATAATCTGATGGGTTGGGGAAGGGATTCCAGAGGATGGGTGACACCCTGGAGAAGTCCTGGAGGCGGGCATGGGAGGAGGAGACCAGGGAACTAGAGAGAAGGAGGTCTTGTGAGGAGCGGAGTGGGTGTGCTGGGCGGTACTTGGATATTAGGTCGGTGATGTAGTTCGGGGCAGTATGGTGGACAGCTTTGTACGTCAGTGTTAGGATTTTAAATTTGATCCGTTGCGCAATCGGAAGCCAGTGGAGGGATTGGCAGAGGGGGGTGGCGGAAACGGAGCGGTTGGAAAGGTGAATGAGTCTGGCAGCCGTATTCAGGATCGACTGAAGCGGGGATAGCCAGCGGCGAGGCAGGCCAGTGAGGAGGGAGTTGCAGTAGTCGAGTCGTGATATGATGAGGGAGTGGATGAGCTGTTTAGTGGTTTCTGGGGTTAGGAACGTGCGGATTTTGGCGATGTTGCGGAGGTGGAGTCTGCACGAGTTTGTTAAAGATTGGACTTGGGGCTGGAAGGATAGGTTGGAGTCCAGAATGACACCAAGTACTCTGGCCTGCAGGGCGGGTTTGATATTGGCGTTGTTGGATGTGATGGAGAAGTCAATGGGGGGTGGGGTTCGGGCTGGGGGGGAAGACAAGAAATTCGGTTTTGGAGAGATTCAGTTTAAGGAAGTGGTGCGACATCCAATCTGATGTCGCTCAGTAGGTGTGTGATTTGGGCAGAGACCAAGGGGGTGAGGTGGGGGGGGTTGAGAGATAGATTTGTGTGTCGTCGGCATAGAGATGGTAGTTGAAGCCGTGAGAGTGTATGAGTTGGCCAAGGGAGGAGGTGTAGATGGAGAAGAGAAGGGGCCCAAGGACAGAGCCTTGAGGGACCCCAACAGAGAGGGGGAGTGAGGGGGAGGTGGTAGCATTATAGGTAACGCTGAAAGAGCGTTGTGACAGGTAGGATGAGAGCCAGGAGAGAGCAGAATCTCTGAGGCCGAGGGAGTGTAGTATTTTGAGGAGGAGGGGGTGGTCAACTGTGTCGAAGGCCGCAGAGAGGTCAAGGAGTAGGAGCACTGAATAGTGTCCATTAGCTTTGGCGGTTAGAAGGTCGTTGGAGAGTTTGAGTAAGGCGGTTTCGGTGGAGTGTAGGGGACAGAAGCCGGACTGTAGGGGATCGAGGAGGTTGTTGTCATTGAGGTGAGAGCATAGGCGGGTGTAGACGAGGCGCTTGAGGAGTTTAGATGTAAGTGGGAGCAGGGAGATGGGTCTGAGGTTGTTCGGGTCATTGGGGTCCAGGGAGGGCTTTTTAAGTATGGGGGTGATGTGTGCATGCTTTAGTGGGGAGGGGAAAGTGCCGGAGGAGAGGGAGAGATTAAAGATGTGGGTGAGGGAGCGTAGGATGCATTGTTTAGGAGATATTTGCTCCTTTTGACAGCCGGCGCATGCGCTCTGAAGGAACGATATAGCCATTCTGTTCCTTCAGAGCACTGTGTGGGAGTGACGTCATCGCGGGTTGGGCAGTCAGACAGCCGGGGGGCACGCAGCACGGCGATCGGTGGTGCATAGTGTCCCTATGACACAGCGGATCACCGATCAATGGAAAGAACCGAAGATGTTGGGTCTGTCATGTGTTCAGCTGTGTCCAATCACAGCAGATCTCATGTAAATAAGGAAATGCCGGTTATCAGCATTTCTCTCCTCACGAGCTGTCACGCTGACAGCACTTGAGGAGAGGAGAATCGGTAATCGGCATTACTCAGAGGGGACATGTACACTGATCATCAGGCCAATGATGATCAGTGTAGCTCCAGCAGTGCCACCTGTCAGTGCCCATCAATGCCACCTGTCAGTACCCAACAGTGCTACATATCAGTGCCTACCAGTGCACATCAATGCCACATATTAGTGCCTATCTGAGCTGCCTTTCAGTGCCACCTATCAGTACCAGTCAGTGCCACCTATCAATGCCAGTCAGTGCCGCCTATCAGTTCTGCCAGTCAGTGCCGCCTATCAGTTCTGCCAGTCAGTGCCGCCTATCAGTGTCATATGAGTGCTGCCTTTCAGTGCCCATCAGTTCAACCTACCAGTGCCCCCTCCTCAGTGCTGCCTATCAGTGCCCATCACTGCAGCCTCATTAGCGCACATCAGTGAAGAAGAAAAATCACTTATTTACAAAATTTTATAACAGAAACTAAGAAAATTTTCAAAATTTTCAGATGTTTTTGGTTTGTTTAGCAAAAAATAAAAAACCCAGAGGTGATTAAGTACCACCAAAAGAAAGCTATGTCTAAACAAAATGATAATTTCATATGGGTACAGTGTTGCATGACCGCACAATTGTCATTCAAAGTGTGACAGCGCTGAAACCTGGAAATCGGACTAAGCAGGAAGGGGGTATAAGTGCCCGATAGGCAAGTGCTTAATTGCAAACCATGGACATATTAGAGGGAGATCTACTAACTCTGGTGCACACAGAATCTGGCACAGCTGTGCATAGTAACCAATCAGCTTCCAGGTTTTATGCAGGCCATAGATGGGGAGAAAAACGGCAGATTTTTCTTTCAAAAAACGAAAAAAATCGTCGTTCAAGCGGCCGACGTTACCATCAATGGTAAAAAAAAAAAAATCGGCCGATTTTCATCCCGTCTAGAGCCGGCAAAAAGTGTCCCTGCAGAGAGCTCTGCTATTTCTTTGACAGTTCTCTGACAGTTCCTTGACATTTACAGCGGTTGAAACATTGTATCTATTTGTTTCCATTTAGGATACAGATGTTTTTATTCGGAAACAAATAGATACAATGTTGCAACCGCTGTAAATATCAAGGAACTGTCAGAGAACTGTCAAAGAAATAGCGGAGCTCTCTGCAGGGACACTTTTTGCCGTACTGGAATTCCTCTAATTTTTCATTCTTCTTCTCCTGCTTCATCATCCTCCTCTTCTTCTTCTTCTTCATCATCATCCTCTTCTTTTTTTCATCATCATCATCCTCTTCTTCTTCGTCATCATCATCCTCTTCTTCCTCTTCATCATCATCATCATCCTCTTCTTCTACTTCTTCCTCTTCATCATCATCATCCTCTTCTTCTTCTACTACTTCTTCTTCCTCTTCATCATCATCATCCTCTTCTTCTTCTACTACTTCTTCTTCCTCTTCATCATCATCATCATCCTCTTCTTCTTCTTCTTATACTTCTTCTTCCTCTTCATCATCATCATCATCCTCTTCTTCTTCTTCTACTTCTTCTTCTCTTCATCATCATCATCATCATCTTCTTCTTCTACTTCTTCTTCATCATCATCATCCTCTTCTTCTTCTTCTACTTCTTCTTCCTCTTCATCATCTTCACCCTCTTCTTCTTCTTCTACTTCTTCTTCCTCTTCATCATCCTCTTCTTCTTCTTCTACTTCTTCTTCCTCTTCATCATCATCATCCTCTTCTTCTTCTTCTTCTACTTCTTCCTCTTCATCATCATCATCCTTTTCTTCTTCTACTTCTTCCTCTTCATCATCTTCATCCTCTTCTTCTTCTACTTCTTCTTCCTCTTCATCATCATCATCATCATCCTCTTCTTCTTCCTCTTCATCATCAACATCCTCTTCTTCTTCTACTTCTTCTTCATCATCATCATCATCCTCTTCTTCTACTTCTTCTTCCTCTTCATCATCTTCATCCTCTTCTACTTCTTCCTCTTCATCATCATCCTCTTCTTCTTCTTCTACTTCTTCTTCCTCTTCATCATCTTCTTCTTCTTCTACTTCTTCTTCCTCTTCATCATCATCATCCTCTTCTTCTACTTCTTCTTCCTCTTCATCATCATCATCCTCTTCTTCTACTTCTTCTTCCTCTTCATCATCTTCATCCTCTTCTTCTTTTTCTTCTTTTTGTCTTCCTCTTGCAGGTCACTGCTCATGTGCAGATTTTTTATCGGTAAAAAAATCGGCCGATTTGCCCATTATTGCTGCGAAAATCGTCGTCCGATCGGCAAAATCGGCCGATTTTTTTTCCAACTTTACAGAAAAAAAAAAAAAAAAAAAAAAACGGCCAAAATACCGAAAAAAACGGCCGACCAAATCGCCCACTAATGATACGAAAAATCGGCCGATTTGATTTTCGGCCGAAAAATCGGCCGATTTTCGACCCATCTATGGCCTGCATTATAGTCAAAGCTTAATTGAACAAGCTGAAGTTAGAAGCTGATTGGCTACCATGCACAGCTGCACCAGTTTTAGTAAATCTCCCCAGTCATGTACCAGTTACACCATTCATACAGAAAATCTCAGTGTTTTGATAAGTAATTTTCATGTCATTTGCTTTCACAGAGAGAACAAGATCAAAGCCAATACTTACTGGCAATCACCCTGTTAATACCACAGTGGATTTTGGAGGCACCACCTCTTTCCAGTGTAAAGTGCGCAGTGACGTCAAGCCAGTGATCCAGTGGCTGAAGAGAGTAGAGTACGGCTCGGAGAATAAATACAATTCCACCATTGACGTGGGTGGACAGAAATTCATCGTCCTGCCCACCGGTGATGTGTGGTCACGGCCTGACGGTTCCTACCTGAATAAACTTATCATCACAAGGGCCAAAGAAGAAGATGCAGGAATGTACATCTGCCTCGGGGCCAACACCATGGGATACAGTTTCAAAAGTGCATTTCTGACAGTACTGCCAGGTGGGTGTAGATGATGTTTTATAGAGAGAAAAAGAAAGTTTAATGATCATCTATAATAAACAGCAAAAACCCCAAAACCAAATTTAAATATTACATATTTCTTGCAGCCTACCAGTTCTTAGATGAGGTGGCTGCATTAGTTTTCATTTTTAAGGGTTATTTTCTTTTACTTTTACTTGGTAATCCTGCGAATAACACACATCCTGTGCCCCCCAACCCTGTTGTACTTTTTTGGGCAGCCATATTTGTTAACCAGGAAGGGACAAGAACAGTGCATTTCTGGCAAGGTCATTGTGTATTTTCTGTGCTTGCTCAAAATGACCTTCACCTAAAAAGTGAAAATGAATGCAGCCATACCATCTGGGATACTGCAATATACTACATTTTTTGTTTTGGGTTTTAGATATTCTTTAAACTCCTATCTATTTCCAGAGGGGAGCAGTTCAGTGATTTAAGCCCTGAGCTCATTCATCCCCACATATTTCCAACAGGAAACTTCCAGGTCTCCTACACACCAGCTGCTCTGTCATTTGCCCACCCCACCTCTCCTCTTCTCCACTCACAGAACACTTTGTAGTCTGTGAACCATTCATAATATACAAAGCATTTTGTGAATGGACAGGGAAGGGCAAAAAGCATAGAGCAAAAAGTGTGGCTGGTGTGTAGGGGACCCGCAGGTCTACTGTCAGAGTGCCAAATGTATATCGATAGCTATACTTCCAAGCATCATCCAAAAGTGGAAATTGTGAAGAACAGACAGCGAACCAGGAGATGACATACACCTCATCACACTTAAAGGATAAGTTCACATTACAAAAAAAAATAAATTATATATATATATATGTGTATATATATATATATATATATATGTGTATATATATATTTGTGTATATATATATTATTTATATATTTATATATATATATATATATATTTGTGTATATATATATTTATATATATATATATATGTGTGTGTGTATATATATATATATATATATGTGTGTATATATATGTGTATGTATATATATATTTATATTTATTTATTTTTGATAGTCTGTTAAGCATTGCACCTGCAATCTAGATCGTGGGTGCAATGTCAGTCCCTTGTAGACTGTCCGTATTCTGTTTGCCCATACGGGCAAGCAGTTACTGAACTCAAGGAAGCTCAATGAACTCTGTGAATAAATGACGCTCCATGTGGGGGAGGAACCCCGCGCAGCCGCACCATTTTCAAATTGCATTAGCAGGTGCAGGGAGAAGACCACCTGCCCGTTGTCACAGGGAGCAGTGTAATGCTGTAGGAGGTTGAACATGTTACATGTTCCACCCTGTAGACGGGTGGCACATGTAACATGTTCCCAAATGTGAACTTATCTTTAAACTATTTGTAACCCAGCTATTTTTCTTTCTGGAGTTCTTTTTTTTTTAAAGGATTCCATGGTATTAAGCTTTGAAATGTCATGCCATTGAAGGGGCTCATCCTGCTTCCCTTTCAACTAGGCATTTCATCTGTAAACAGTACTAGGTTTCTGAAGCCAGAGCTTCATTGCCCTGAGAAAAGTAGAACAGTCCAGTGTTCTACAGCAACCACAAAACCTGCTTTTTCACATCTGTAAAAAAAGGGTTGATCTGCAAGGATCTGGGCAGAGTCTTTCCGCTGTTTAGTGTTGGACCATTGGTATATGGGATTTCCATAATAATAGGTAAACCCTCTTTAAGCAATCCTCAGTGAAGTAATCTGATAGTAACTCTCGGATCTGGTTAATTTTAGAAAGCCTTTGATTAATCAAAGAGAGCAGTTAAACAGTAGGAACATCATCCAGCATTCTGACTAAAAGCACATATTTACCAGCAATTGCACACTGTAATTGGGCAGTGTTCAGGAATGTTAAAATTGTCTCGGAAAATGATAGCGATTAAATGAGAAAGCACTGGATGAACATCGCACTGTCTGGCAGAGTAGAATTTGGCATCCAAATGCGGGGCCCGCATAGCTTACATTTCTGGCTTGTTGACATTAGAGGAAGGTATTAGTGACAATTAACCACATTTTATTTCTAGGCTGCGTTAGGCAGCCAGGCTTGCTGCTGAGCGATGGTATTTGGAAACCACATGTGGTCGGCGCAAGTTTATTCTGCTACATCGAAGCAAGACAAAATAAAACACAACCTTGGAGATCAGCTCAGAACAAAAGCAAACTGTTTGTTTGTCCTTTAAGACCTTAATGGGACACCAGCAACAAAGTTTTACTTGTTGGCTGCCTACGGCCCTCCTTGGCAGATGTTTTGTTATCAAAGAACCATAGTGTGCTAGTAGTCCGTATTTATGCTTGACATCTGTTTTTCATTGTTCTTTTCTGGTTTTAATCATCTGTATCCATTCTATTTTTTTTTCTTTTTTTTTTATGTCTGTTTTCTGCAGATCCGAAGCCCCCAAGTGCACCTGTGAGCATATCGTCCAGTAGTCTTCCTTGGCCAGTGATAATCGGCGTTCCAGCCGGAGCTGTCTTCATATTTGGGACAATTCTTCTGTGGCTTTGCCAGACAAAGAAAAAGCCATGCTCTCCTCCTGCAGCGGCAGCTGCTGTCCACAGGCCGCAGCCAAGGGTTTGCATACCACAGATGGTGGACAAAGACTGCATCTCCTCCATAAACTATGAGGAGTATGTTGCGCAACAGCAGCATTTACTTCCCCAAGGACCTCTTTTGGCCAATGGAGTGGCATCAAAAATGTACCCAAAGATTTACACAGATATCCACACCCATACGCACTCTCACGTGGAAGGAAAGGTTCACCAGCATCAACACATTCACTATCAGTGTTAAATGCCATAAACAAACTTGTTTCTCAAGCGGTACCTCAAGACTGATTGGTTCAGCCAACACTGCCAGTAGACATGGATAATGGAATGTCACGGATAATGCAACGGAATTCTTCGACTCATAAAAGGAATCATGAAGGAATCTCCAGTAAAGCGGAGGTCATTGTTGCTATTCTTTTATTTTTTTTTGTGTTTTGGGGAAAAAAAAAAGCACTGTGTTTTTAAAAACTAGTGGAAGAAAAGAAAAAAATGGACACTGTCATATTTCACCCAAGTTTAGTTTATGCTGGTGCCTTCTTTATTTTTGAAATTATGGCCAGGCCTTCAGCCGTGGTCAGCATTTGGGCTTTCAGGAGGTCTAAGAAGAATAAAGGGGAGGAAGGAATTTTATGAAGAAAGTAATACATAGCATTAGTTATAAGCTAGAATGTTCAAGCAACAGAGAACGTTTTTGTCAGTATCTGAATTTTTGGTTGTTTTTCTTGTCCCTCAAAGTGCCTGTTACTTTTGAAGCACTCTATTGCAAAGCCACGGTCATGCCAAACCTCAATCATATCCTAGCCTCATTTTGTTCAGCTATTAATACTCATTCTAAAAAAAATCAAATTGGAAGTTTTGGAGAACTACATCATTTATCATAAATGCTCAAATAATAACATACTTAAAAAAAAAAGCAATATTTTACCGTCGATAAAAGCAATAACCTATCGTGGCTTTGAAAGATGCCTTATAATCATTACGATAATGATGACAGACTTTATAAAGCAATTTGTGACTATAGGAGACGTATATAGATTTTAAACTAAAGCCATGTATATTTAATTTATTTTGTTAAACAGAAAAAAATGTCTATGTAAAATATTATTTTCAGCAAAATGTTCATTTCTATTTTCTGAGTGAATTATTTTAGATACGACTCGTTAGGCATAAAAATGTTACCATGTAGCACGTGACAGTGGTTTGTTAAAGAGGACTTACTGGATGTGGATTTCAAAATGGAAGGTTTGTGCATGTTTGTATTGTTTTTAAGCTGAGCTCCAGTTACCCTCCACTGCCACGGCAAGGATCATTTAAAGCAAACCTGCAATTCGTTTGCCATTTGCCAGACTAAATTTAATTTTAAACTGTAGGCATCACTAAAAATGTTGCTCCCTGCATTGCTTGTGGGATGCATTGATGACATGCTTCCGTCTCGACCTTTCAAAAACCCATTAACATCTTCCTGCATGCACCCCAGAGGATCTTGTGGTCCTTTGCAGCAGTCATTTTTCATACAAAATGGTACGATTCAAAAGCTAATGGTGCTTTTTTATACTCTAAAATTAGGTCAGCATCTGTAAATTAATGACAGGTTTAGTTTATAGGTCCCCTGCACATGCCTATCATGTACAGATGGTGGAATGGAAGGGGTGAGTGTAGTCTGACACTCCATTTTGAAAATGTCCGAGTAGCTTCTGGGGCCTGCAGCCTACACATTAGTCTACCCATTATGGTGGTTTTGATTCCTTACGTGATCCAATGTAACACATGAGAATGCAACATATCCATGCATTAAAATCTAGTAAAATTACTGTGACACCTATGCCTTTATAAATCGTAACTAATCATATTTGACCTTTTGGTAGCCTAGTTTACTCAGGATAGCTTATGATGGCTTCCAGATTAAATCTCTTCATTTTAAGAAGCAACAAATACAAATGAAGATCATTTTTACCTACATATTAGCTCAGTGTTGCAGAACAATTTTAAAGAATAATACCAGGCGTGGTATATTTTTATATATTTATATTGGTCCAACTTGAACCAATGTAACTATGTATATACCATACCTGGCCAATGCCCTGGGAAGCTGGAAATCACTGTAGTAGACACCACTATTCCAGTGATCTCCACTTGTTCCGTGCTGAGTAGCCGGACTAATGAATTGAATACAGGAGGTCAGCTTCTGAGCACAGGCACCATTTTAGAGAATGCTTTGCATCTTCTTAATGATTGCAAAGCATTCTCTGACTGGACAAAGTGGACAGGCAGGGTGGTGACATCATGCTCTCCACCATGTCCAATCAGAGAACACTGCATTCATTCAGCAAATGCAAAGTTTTCTCTAAATGGCGCATGGGCAAAGTGGCCAAGGTCCTGTATTCACAGTGTGCCAAGCCAGCTGTCCAGCACAGGACCAGGAAGCAGTCTCTACTTCATTGATTTCCAGTTTCCGGGGCATCAGCCTGGTATGGTATATACAATTGTAGTTATATTGTTCCAAGCTGTAAAAATATACCATACCTGGAATTCTTCTTTAAAACACAATCAAATCACTTTATGTGTGCTGTTATTCTATACCACGGTAAATAAGGATTTAGCCAGTAGAGCCTGGCACGCATAGGCTTCAGTCCCCAATGGCTGCGCAAGGCAAGTACTCTTTAATTTACCACTGAATCAGGAGTCCTATTTTTGTATACTTCGCTAAAACTAACTCTATAGCATTATGGGCCGTGTAGACAATCTTGTACAGAAACTGCTTCATTCCTATGCTCAAAGCTTTATCAGACATTTGCTTAAATTGTATATTTCTTGTCCGTTAACGACTATAGCACATTAATGTTTGTTCATACATGTGAATTTTGTGTGTACATCCGGAAAAAAAAGGCTTGTTTGCCATCCTTTTTCAGCCTGAACATAAGGAAATATTCTTATAAAACTTTATTCCATAATATTTTTATAAATGTGTCCATTAAAGTATATATTGATTATTTTATAGCAATCCTTAGTCATTGTTTCTATTTATAAAAATAAGAGCATGTTCTGAAAATTACAAATGAGGCAAAAACTTTAGACAGCAACAGAAAAGGTGGCACTTAATAACAGTGGTTTGGGGCGCAAATCTTGGTCTTAAACTACAGTAAGGCTCCATGCACATTAGTGGTTTTTTTATGCTTAGAAAACGCTGGAAAAAAACAGACTGGTAATATATTTTCTTGGTTGCATTTAGGAGCATTAGCATTTTTACAGTACATGCAGGGAAAAAAAAACTAGAAAAAAGCGGTTAGGAGTGTGTTTAGTGTTTTTTCTACTGGAAAAAACCCTCCATAAAAACTCTACAAAAACGTATTTTTTTTTCTGCTCCTAAACGCCGATGCTTGAAAAACGCTACTAGCCTAAAAACGTTTGCATGGACAGATAGGATAACATGATTTAGCTTCTAGGAGCAGAAAAAGAATTCTGATAACAGCTTCTAGAAACGTAAAAAACGCTTGTATGCATGAAGCCCTAAAGTCCTTGTGTTGGGAAGTATATATATATATCACACATACAGTACAGGATCTTAAATGTTAAAAGAAAAGTTCAAAGTCTTTTTTGTTATCATTTAAACCATTTAAATGTAAATCTGTCACCGGAGGCAGCCATTTTGCCTTTTAAAATAAAGCTAGCTATGTCACTCACCATACTAAGTATATTAAAAACTAAGACAGACCGTAGACTAGTCGAAATCCAAAAGTTCTGTAGAGCGAAAAAGAATAATTAAATAGCTCATCAATTGTTTTGTTTTTCTAATAAAAATCCATCATGCTGGATCAGGCACTTTTGATTGTGGCATGAAAATCGTGTGTCACAGCCGGCAAACTAATGATGCGAAAAACAAACAATTTGAAATTTTGGCATCATCTTTGGCATGCCTTTGATCTAAGAAACCTGAAGCCTTCCCAGGCCACCAATATACTACTACATTTTGCCCAAAATTCATGTTAATTGTTTCTTAAAAATGATGACACTGGATAAATAATCATCACTGGTGTGAATGCTTCAAGACACACTGAACATCAGTTGAACATACCTGAAAGAATTGTCAATCTCAATTTCATGTGGTAGAAAATTGAGAACAGCCTTTCCCAACCTTTTTACTTCAGAGGAACCTAAAATATTTTCAGATCTATGGAATCCCTTAACTGAAACCAATTCATTTGGGTCAGTAGGAAAAAATGCCCCTTATATTGGCAAGAAGAATGCATCTCTTAGTGTTGGTTCGAATGCCACCCCTACAGATAGCTAAAAAAATAATTATTCTAAAGATTATTGGTGTCATGCTGCTGACTTTGCCAAGTGGCGTTGAGCTTAGAACTATGTAGGCCCCATCAGATAGGAGGTCTATATTTTGGAGGAACCCTGGGGTTCCATGGAACCTTGGTTGAGAATGGCTGCATGAGAAAGTGAATCTTTTTTTTTTTCTGTCGGAAACACAGTTTATTCATCTATTAGTTTGTATTATCAGGTTTTTTTGTGAATTAAAATGGCTGCCTGTGTGTGAAGGGAGAATAAGAGACAGTTGAAACTACTTCCAACAGTAAAATATTATCAAAACTCAGGATAGTTATCGCTGTCCATAATTTCAACAAATCCGTGCATACTCTCTTTCCCTTCTCAGGATACCTTGAAGGAATGAATTTCGATTGAGAAAAAAAAAAATTACCATGCTTAGGTTGCACAAAGTTTTTGCTTCATGTACCAAGTTATACCGAATACAGCTGCTATTACCTTTTACACAGTTATATCTTTCTTGTGTCTTACTTTAATGCCTTCTCAAGCAATATCATTATCTATTACATTTAAGTGTACATATTGTTTCTACAGGAGCCATTTAGTAACCATCATGGGACAAGTATCAGTGCAGCCTACCATTGCTACCTACTAAAGTTGCTGGGGAAAGGTCTTGTGTATAGGAGCCCAAAAATCCTTTCTAAATGTAATAAAACTGCATACATTTTGTAAATGAGAGTCAAATATAGGCTCTTGGTACACTACTTACAGTTCTGTATGTGTTAGTGGCAGTTTACTTCAATCAGTAAGCCCACCACATCTTTGCCCACCCTGAAGCCTTCAAAACAAAGGTGCCTTGTATCGTGTGACCGACATGTAGTAAATAAATTTACTAAATAGCAAAAAAGAAACACAGGTAGAAACTATGAAAAAGATGATAATACTGAGAACATAAAAAAGGATCAGAAGCCA